AAAAAAATAAAAGGCGAGGAGACTGAGTCAGAGCGGCTCTGCATGACTCGGCCAGGCTCAGCCCACTGGTCAAGGGTACAGTGGGATTTGCACGCTTGTCTGATTGGCTTGGGTGCACGTGTTGGGCAGGTGGATCTTGAGTGTGGGTGTCACCAGGGGGACAGGTGACAGAGGGCACCCCATCCTGCGGTTTGGATTCTCCAGGTTGCTGGTGGCCATCCCGCAAGCGGAGTCCAGCTGCGGGCGCCCCCGTGTGTGCGAGCGTGGAACTGCACGCCGCAGGGTTTTCAGGGCTTTGGCGCCCAGATTGCCTGGCTTTCCCCGGAGGCGGTTCAGCTCGGAGCCCGGTGCTTATTCATCTGCGCCGACGGCGGGGATTCTCCGGCCTTGGGAGTTTTTCTCCATTTGTGATGGGCTGTAACGGCCCTCTGTGGTATGCGTTCTCACCTCCGTGTGGGGTGGCGAAGATGAAGGCCTTCAACACGGTGGATGGACACAGTGGGTGCCACCATGGGCTCAGACTGAAGCATGATTGCGAGGCCGGCGCAGGACCACGCTGACGTTTTGTTCTGTTGTGCACGGGCTGGCTTGCGTCTTAATCCCCTGAGATGGAAAGGGGCAGATTCGACAGGAAGGGGACAGAGATGGGGGAGAGAGTTGTTGAGACCCCTGCGCTGACAAGAGACTCCAGAGCAGGCACCCCAAGACCCCCGTGCAGCTCCTGGATGTGAGGCGATGATACGTTTCTCTTTGCGAAGTCAGGGGGCCGCTGTCGCCGACGGCCTCCGTGCCTCTCACCCCTGTCTTCCAGAGGAGGAGCGAGTGGACGTGCTGGTCAACAACGCGGCCGTGATGCGGTGCCCCCACTGGACCACCGAGGACGGCTTCGAGATGCAGTTTGGCGTGAACCACCTGGGTGCGTGAGGCCATGCTGAGGGCAGCATCGGGGGCTCAGCCTGCCGTCCCAGGGGGCACCTTGTGGGTGGGTCACAGGCCCCGGCAGGGCACCTTGACCCCCGAGACAGGGCAGCAGGTCTGCCCCACTGAGCCCCTTTGACAGTTGTCAGGTCTCTGCTCATTGGTGGCCC